TATGCTAATAATATAAGTTACAGCTATGTCTTAAAAGAGATGTTTTTATACAAGAAAGGCAGAAAAAGCTGAAAGATTGCTGAAGTAGTTTGTTTCTATTGTAAACTACTGACAGAAGAACAACAGTGGACATGCTGTCAGCACAATAAAATAATAAATACATACATTTTTATCTCTGCTCCTTAAGCTACCGGGGTGAAGAACAGTGACTGCTGTTAATATCTGTAAAACAACAAAGTAATTAGAATGTGGTGCAGATTCATGATTTTTTTTATGTGATGGCATAATAATTATAAAGACTTTCACCTTTTCATAGTCTGATTTCTTTTCTGTAGACTCTGGGTGTTTTTCTAGGATGTGCAGCATGGCGTCATGTAGAGTTAAGAAGAACATGGACGGTTGAATTTCATCGTCAAAGAAGCAACAATTGTGAAGTTTTTCCAGGATGTAAGCTGCAAGTCAAGAAAAACAAAAATATTTGTCATTTTACTGTACAGTTATACATCCGAGGATCTGATAACTTCAGCTAATATTTAAAAGGCATTTGATTGTTGAACACAGATCTAGATATTGACTATAATAAATCAAAACTAACATTAGTCCATGTTTTTGTGCGTGTGTTGTGAGAGCCCTTTTTATTCTGTGTGAAATGTAGCAAGTTTATGGTAATTCTTATATTCAAATCAAATTTATTTCTTTTACTTGTTTTGATTTTTTTGTTTGCTCTACAAAAAAAATCAAGCATCATTTATTAAAAATTGAGCTTTCATTAATTCTGTGCAATGAACAAACTATTATCACTAGATATTTAATAATATATTTAATAAAATCATTTGCATCTGAATCTTTTTAAGGAAACTGACAGTTCTATTATCTGTTTATAACCACTGTCAAATGTTATATTGAAAAAATACAAGAACTCTGTCATACATCTAACACTCCTTTCCAAGTAGTTGTGTCAAAGAAATCCATAAAGATATTTGGCTAATTCAACAGAATCCAGCTCCAGGAGAGGAGCTGAGCTCTCGCCTACTCTGAAGCTACACGGGGACAGAGACCTCGGCTCGGGCAGGTTTGTGGAAACTCGCTCACTGAGTGCCTCGGAGCTGGACTACCCTGTAAATGAGAGGATTGTCTCCGTGTGGCTTTGAGCTGCAGGAGGGACGCCAGCAGGTCAGATTACCTGGACCCTCATAAATCAGAGTGCTCAGTTTCCATACTGAAAGTTGGCAAATGGGGCAAAATGAGAAAAGTGCATGTGCACAGAAATATTCACAATTATCTAACCATGCGCACACACGTTTCTGCTCACCTTTCCATCATTCATCTGAACAAACGTGGAGCTGAGCACGTGCAAAACTCCTCCTCCGGCACACCTCCATTGAAACATAAAATAGATGCAAATTTGTTTTTCATGTGGGATTCTCAATAAAAAAGATGTCGAGATGGGGGTGGGGTGTTGCGAGAGTATGAGGTGCCTATCTTCATTTTCATAGCTATCAAGTCCCTGTTTATGAAGCCAAGAGCCGTGTTCACATCCCTGACACAAGATTGTGCTTGTTGGAGTCCTGCCAGGAGTCCAAACAGGATCTCTAGACACAGATGTGAAGAGAGGGGAGTGGAGTCAGGTTTGATGTTGTTTCTGATTTTTGCAGATGATGTAGTTCTGATAGTGTCTTCCCGTGACCTCCAGTGTGCACTGGGGCAGTTTACAGTCGGGTGTGAAGCTGCTGGGATGGGGGCCCATCTTGAGTCCATAATTTTCATCTAGAAAAAGATGAAATTATTCCTCCAGGTTGGGGATGGTCTGCTTCAAGCAAAGAAATTCTAGTGCCTTGGGGTCTTGTTGACAAGTGATGGTAAGACAAATTGGGAGATGGATTGATAGATTGGGACTTGAATACTGTAATGATGCAATTGTCTCGGTCTGTCATAGTGAAGGAGCTGAGCTGAAAAGCAAACCTTTGGATTTATTGGTCCTTCTACATTCTTACCCTCACTATGGCCTTAAAATGTGAATTATGACCAAAAGAACGAAATTCAGGATCCAAATGGCAAACATTAACATCCTCCATAGTGTTTCTGGGCTCAGCCCTAGAAATAAGGTGAGGTGCTCTGTCTTCCAAAGGCAGTTCGGAGAAAAGCTGCTGCTCCTCTGCATCAAAATCAGCAGAGATGATTCAAGCATTTGATTGGGATGCCTCCTGGGTTCTTCCATTTGGAGGCTTTCTTGCACTTCACACTGGAAGGAGACCCAAGAAGAGACACAGAATACGCTAGAGAGATCACATATTCTCTCAGTCCAGGGAATGCCTAGGATCTCCCAGAAGAACCTGGAGAAAGTTGCTGGAGATAGGGACATCTAAGTTTCCCTCCTAGATCTGCTGCCTTTGCAACCTGACCACAGATAACTCAGAAAATGGATGACAAATGTTTTTGTGCTGAAGTCAAACAACTCAGATATCAACTTTGCAGATATTAGTATCATAACAATCCTTATCACAATCCAATGTATGGCTTGTAACTTTGTTTCTTGAGTACTTACAATCACAGGCCACAATGTAGATCTCAACTTCAACTCGAATCAACTCTTTCAGTAACTATAAAACAAGCAGAGATAACTGTTAATAAAAAAAAAGATTGATGTTTCTAAACATATGCACAAGATTTACTCACAGTTTTGAGTCCATTCATAGCAGATATATCCAAAAAGGAGACCGCAGCAAAGTCCAGGACCAGACTGTGGATATCAACTGTGGGAACAATAATGTTGGCGGGAAGTTGGGAATCCCATTTGATACAGCCAGGAAGGTCTTTGAAGTCAATCTGCTGGTCCAGATCTTCCATGTTGCTTTCATCTTCTGATTCATTGATGGGTCCACACGAAGTGTTCAGGAAACCATTCTATACCACAAAAACAAGGTATTCTCAATTTCTCACACACTAGTTCTACGTTAGGCAGGAAGGAGTGGATGGAGAAAAGTTTCAGGAGTGTGTTACCACAAAAGTATGGCAGCAAAGCTCAAAGGAAAAGTTTACAAGACAATTGTGAGACCAGCTATGTTGTATGGTCTGGAGACAGAGACATGGACAAAAAGACAGGAGACAGAAATGGAGATGTTGAGGTTCTCCTTAGGAGTGACAAGAATGGAGAAGATTAGGAATGAGATCATCAGAGGTACAGCACAGGTTGAACAACTGGGAGATAAAGTTAGAGAGGACAGACTGAGATGGTTTGGACATGTCCAGAGGAGGGACAGTGGTTTGGACATGTCCAGAGGAGGGACAGTGGTTTGGGCATGTCCAGAGGAGGGACAGTGGTTTGGACATGTCCAGAGGAGGGACAGTGGTTTGGACATGTCCAGAGGAGGGACAGTGGTTTGGACATGTCCAGAGGAGGGACAGTGGGTATATTGATAGAAGGATGTTAGAAATGCAGCTGCCAGGAAAAAGACAAAGAGGAGACGTATGGATGACTCACTGTGGCGACCCCTGAAGAGGGAAAAGTCAAAAGAAGAAGATTCTCACATACTAGTGGTTTTACGTTACAGAGGACTGCAATATTCTAGTTTTCAACCAGTTCATGGGTACAGTTTAAACCAGGTCAGCTGAGAACGTTGCTCAAAGTTAAAGAGAATGATGAAACAAACGAGTAGATGGATTGCTGTGACAATCAAACACAACTAATAAATAAAAAAGGTCAACTAAAGACCTATGCTCATAGACTTATGCCAGAGTTTAAAACCAAGATCATCTTATGAGAAATGTCAGAGTTATAGTTGTTTTGGTCAAACCTTGAGATTGTGCCAACAGACAAAGTTGACTTTGACCTTTATGTTTCTACATCTACTCTACAACCTCTCTTTAAAGTAAAACTGTAACTCTAATGAGGATGTTTTTTAAAGTGAAATGACAAAAGACCAGCAATAAACTTTTATGGGTTACAGACAGTTTTTTTTGCACCTGAGACACAATAACGCTCTGTCCATTACAAATCTGGTATCAGAAGTTGTAAACAACAACACACCATTTCTTCAGTGTACCTTAACCCATCTTCTAGAAAATCTATTTGCTTTTACCCAACAAAGTTAAGTCAGACAGTTTCTTTTGGTTGAAAAGTTTCATCTTTCATTCAAAAGTCTTCATCAGTCGGAGGAGCCACAACAAACTCAGTCTTATAAATAGCACCTTCACTTAGTGGGTCAACCAGTTTGATGATGTTCTAATGGTTTCTGGAGTCTGCCCTCTCCCCCGCCGACTTGTCTGAGGCAGTCATGGCCAAAGTGGTTTGAAACATCAAAGTTTATGCTCGATAATCCAGGTAGAAAATCGCTCCTAGGACTCATGAAGTCTTCTGGATGAAAGACAAAACTTTTCAACAAACAGAAACCCTCCAGAGAGCCTTACTTATCTTTGATGGATTTTTCTACCTGGATTATTGATCATGAACTTTGATATTTGCTTTTACATTAACTTTCAGTAATTTCCTACTTAGGCAAAGTAAGGCATAGCTATACAGTTTTGCCAGTTTCTGTGTGTATATTGCTTTTTCTGTGTCCGATAACCTTGTGGAATTAATCCCAGTCAAGATGGTCACCACAGCTAAAATGGTAAATGGTACTTATATAGCACCTTTCTATCTTATCAAGATACTCAAAGTGTTTTACAACACTATCTGTGTCTCATTTACCCATTCATACAGCACTCTACTAGATCTATACAAAGCTAATTGAACAAATCATTCTAAAGAGACTAATCAGAGCTTTAGATCACATTCATACACTGATGGGACACACATCAGAGGCTATGAGGGGTTCAGTGTCTTGCCCAGGGACACTTCGGCATGTGACTGCTGGAGCTAAAAGACCTTTGCAAACACAAGCACAGTTTTGACTCAGCCAGTTTTACTGATACTGAGTTCACTTTGGATGTGGTAGGAACAGAGACTCAGCGTTTTCATTCATTCAGCCTTTATTTAGACAGGTAATCACATTGAGGAACATGTCTGCATTGGCTTTTGCCAGGTACTTAACAGGGTTTTAAAGTCACTTAGAGAGGTCAAGGTCGAGAGCTTCAAATCTTTTTGCAAGATATTCCAGGAAACAGGGGTGGCGTTGGAGAAGGCCCTTTCACCTAGTTCAGACCTCACTGAGGGATCACTGCAGGTAATAATGTCCTGAGAGCGCACGCTGTAGCTGCACTCACACAGAGACATGTAGGAGGAGACGTATGAACATGTAATTTGAGCATCAACAGATTTCACTAGATCAGGGGTCTGCAACCTGCGGCTCTGGAGCCACATGTGGCTCTTTGGTCCTTCTGCAGCGGCTCTTTCAAGCTTTGACCAAAACTAACATAAAACTGAATTTTATTAGTTATACAAACAACAAAAAAATGACGAGTTTTTGCTGTTTTCCTGTCATTTCTTTTGCAAATATGTGAACACTGGCGTACATGGGATAAAACATTAATGTGATGCTTTATTTCTTTATATAAACTGTCTGCATAGTTCATAGATTTTTTTTAATTAAAAAAGGTAAAAACCGTTTGGTAACTCTAAATTGTCCCTAGGTGTGAGTGAGAGAGTGAATGTTTGTTTGTCTCGTTTGTCTCTATGTGTCCCTGTGATGGACTTGCGACCCGTCCAGGGTGTACCCCGCCCCTCGCACAGTGATTGCTGGACATGGGCACCAGCGACCCCCGTGACCCAAAATGGAATAAGCGGGTAAAGATAATGGATGGATGGATGGTAAAAACCGTTTTTTCCCTCTTCATTACAAGAATCAAGTCTCTTAATTTAATAAATGTTAAAAATCATTAGATTTTTTGCTTTATAGAGTAATGTCATCCCTACTGGTCACAAAACCCCCCTCCAGCAAAGCTAAAGTGGCCCACGGGCCACCAGTTGATAATCACAGTTGTAGCAGGTTGTTGCGGCTCCGGACATGCTTAAAGTAGTGAATGAAGGCGACAAATGGCTCTTTTGATTGAAAAGGTTGCAGACCCCTGCACTAGATCATAGTTTTAAATGTTGTCATTCACAATTGGAATCCACCCTGTAAGAAAAATCATCTTATAAACCACTTGAAGGATTTTAATAAAACTATGAGGAAATTATCACTGAATGTAGCTCTACAACTGATTAACCTTTGGCGTCAATTCAGTTCAAGATGACCATTACAGCCAAGTGACTGTAAAAAACACTGAAATGTCTATAGCTTGTTTGTTTGTTTGTTTCAGATAATGAGCTAATTTTTAATGTATTTATAGCTGACAGTCATTTATAACCCAAGGTCCAAGTGCTATTAATTTAAATAAATCTTTGTCTAAAACACCTAGCATTGACTGTTAGCATCAACACTGTTAGCAGAATATCTCATCAACCAATGGTCAGATTTTAACGACACGTTCAGAAAGTCGTACAACTACAAATATTTATCTTTTTCAGTAAACCTGATTCAAGACAGCTTTCATGGCTAATCAGTTTGAGCAACACAAAAATGGCTACAGCCCAAAATTTACAGCTCTTAGATTAAGTTTCGCTGTGTGAGATTTTACATAATGTCAGTCGGAAGGTTTGACCAAAACTGTCCTTTCTCATCCTAAAATGGTCTTAGCAAGGTTCAAGGTTCTTTAGTGTCTTTCTCGTCACATGTAGTACATGAGGTAGAATGAAATTGTGTACTCAAGGTCCCAGTTATACTCAAAAAGAGCATAAATATAAAGTATTAAAAGTAACAGTATACAAGTGTAAAAGCTAAACATTAAAAAACTAATGTGGTATATTAAACAGCAGCCTGAACATGAGTCTGTTGTGAGCAGACTGGTATGAATACAGCAGCTAAAAGGCAAGAAATCAGTAACACTGATAATCAGCAGCACAGATAAGTCACATATCACCAACTAAAATGGCATTACAGTGATTTTTTTAAATTAAATGTTTTTTTTATTAATTTATTACAATTATTATCCTGGTTATAGATTCATGAGTCTAACAGCCACAGGGTATTCGCTGTTCCTCAGCCTAGTGGTTCTACACTTAATGCTCCTCAACCTTCTGCCTGAGGGGAGCAGGGCAAAAAGTGTGTGTGCTGGGTGAGTGGGGTCCTTCATGATGCAGGTGGACCTCTTTCTGCATCTGGAGGGGCAGATGCTACTTATGTATATGTACTTATGCTACATCTTTAGCGTTAAAGTGGCGGACAAAATACATTCCTTAAAGAAATAACTTCCCATATATTTACAAAATCTATATTACTAATATAAAATGTAATTATAATATAATATCACTTGTG